GCTCAGTGGTAGGATGCTTGCCTAGCATACACAAGGCCCTGTGTTCAATCCCCAATAATGCAAAAAACAAAAACAAAAAAGAAGTATCTCCAATGATGGTATGCAAATGGCCAACAAACTTATGGAAAGATGTTCAACATCACTAATAAGTAAGGAAATGCAAATCATAACCACAACAAGCTATTACCTGTTAAGATGGCAACTATCAAAATCCAAAAATGCTGGGCACAGTGGCTCAGGAGGCTGAGACACAAGTTTGAAACCAGCCTCAGCAACTTAGGCCCTAAGCAACTTAGCTAGACCAAGTCTCAAAATAAAAATTGGGCTGGGGGTGTGGCTTAGTGGTTGAATGCCCCTGGTTCAATCCCTGGTAAAAAAAGAAAAAGAAAAAAGGAAAGAAAGAAAAAGAACATGTGCTGATAAGGATGTGGAAAAATCAGAACACTTGTTATTTTATTTGTGGGAATGTAAAATGGTGTATTTGTTAGGAAAAACACTATTTTTTATTCCTCAAAAACAGAGGCTAGGGATATAACTCAGTGCTAGGATGCCTGCTTAGCATGTTTGAAGCCCTGGGTTCAATCCCAAGGAAAAAAAGAAAAAAGAAATCAATTACCATATGACCCAGAAATTCCACATTTGCACACCCATGTTCATAGCAGTATTATTCCTACTAGCCAAGAGTAGAAGCAACCCAAGTGTCCCTTGATAAATGGATAAACAAAATATTGTATATATGTACAATAGAACATTCACATTAAAAATGAAATTCTGATACATAATACAACATGGATGAACCTTGAGAATGTTATGCTAAGTGAAGCCAGTCACAAAAAGGTACTGTATGATTCCAATTATTTGAGGTATCTAGGATAGTTCAAATTCATAGAGACAGACAGTAGAAGGGTATGGGGAGCAGATGGCTAGTTGTTAAAATAGGTAAAGTATCAGTTTTGCAAGATAAAAAAATTTTTTTTGGTACTGGGAATTGAGCCCAGAGGCACTTTACCACTGAACTACATCCCCAGTCCTTTTTATTTTTGAGATAGGGTCTCACTAAGTTGCTGAGACTGGCTTTGAATTTGTGATCCTCCTGCCTCAGCCTCCCAAGTTGCTGTGATTACAGATGTGTGCTACTGTGCCTGGTGCAAGATAAAAAATTTCTGGATTGGTTACACAATATGAGTATACTTAACACTACTGATGTACACTTAACAATGATTAAGATGGAAAATTTTATATTAATTTTGCCACAATTTAAATAATGCAGAAAAAAACAATAAAAAAGAATGAAGTGATGATACATGCTATAACATGGATGAACCTTGAAAACATTATGTTAAGTTAAAGAAGTCTGTCATAAAAGACCACATATGTATGTTTATATGAAATGTCCAGAATAAAGAAATTCATAGAGGTACAAAGTAAATTAGTGATTGTCAGGGACTGGGGGAAGGGGAGAATATGAGATGACTACTAATAGACCTAAGTGTCTTTCTGGAATGATGAAAACATTCTGGAAACAGTTGCACAGATTTGTGAATATACCAAAAACCACTGACTCATATACTTTAAATAGGTGAGTTTCATGGTATGTGAATTTATATCTCAATTGAAAAAAAAAAACAAAACAATTATTAGAAAAAATTCACCAGATTCTAGCCATAGAACAATGTCACACAAGGTACAAACTACTACTTTGATCATTGGCATAAATGAGAATAAGAATTGACCTAAAGGCATCACAAAGCAGTCATAGAGGAAATGTGGTTTTAGCAAATGGAGCTGAGGTTATAGTTTAGTGGTTGTGAGCTTGCCTAGCACATGTGAGGCACTGGGTTCCATCCTTAGCACCACATAAAAATAAATAAATAAAATAAAGGTATTGGGTCCATCTATAACTAAAAAATATATTTATAAAAAGAGGGCTGAGTGTGGCTCAGTGGTAGAGCGCTCATCTAGCACATGTGAGGCCCTGGGTTCGATCCTCAGCACCACATAAAAATAAATAAAGGTATTGTCTCCAATTACAACTAAAAATATAAATGTTTTTTAAAAAAGAAATCCTAGCAAATGCAGAATCAGATTAGCTAAATAATTGTGATATATCTGAGAAGGAATGGAATAAATAAACGAGACTAAAGCAGAGGGAAATTGTGGAAGACAGGCTGAAAAAGCAGGAGCAAGGCCAGACTATGGAGGGCTTTGGCTAACAATCTGAGTTCATATTTTCATTCTTTTCCACAACTGTTAACTTAAAAAGATTAATTTTATGACAATACATTGAATTAAATATAAATAGAAAATCCTGTAAATTTACAGACAGTAGTTGTCTAAGCATTAGCTGATAAGGACATAAAATATAAAAGTATAATTAGGTCTAGGAGAATAAGACAATAAAAACATTAAACTGACAAGACTCATCACTTGTATTAAATGTAAGTTTTAAAAAGAAATGTAAAAATCAAACACAAATTGGATTTCCAAGCTAAGTAAATAGGAAATCATTACTATCTATTGTTATAAAAAGATGGAAAACCACCTTTTATTCCAAAAATAGGGTGGAAAACTAGATGGTTTGAGGGAATTAATAAATGTGGGAGTAGGGCAGGGATGTAGCTCAGGGGTAGAGCACAAGCTTAGCATGCATAAGGCCCAAAGTTTGATGCCCAGCACACACAAAAAAAAGTTGGACAAACACAGTTGGCAATCCTTCTTCAGCTTTTATTGGCATAATCCCTAATAAAATTTACCAAATTGAAGTAATACTAAGAATACAAACCAAACCACACCATTTACCTATGATTACAAAGCCCCCCAAAAGGTAAGAAATGGCAACTTGGATATTTTCTGGCTAAGTGTTGCAAGCAGCAGGTTTAAAATAAAAAACAAGTTAAGGCAGAAATATGCCTTCCCTGTAGACTAGACCCTTCTGGATATAATGTAGGAGGATCAAACTTGATGTTTTAATTATATACAACTGTTGGCTTAAAGGATATGAATTAAATAATTAAATAAATGGTCCTTGAAGCAGGGTGAGAAGTAAATATTTAAAACTTGTCATACAAGTTTAAAGAGTCATTTACCAGAATTGCTGCTGTGACTAAACAGTCAAAACAGAAGGTCTAATCCAGGACAAAAAAATAAAAAAATCTGTCTCACAAAGAGAAAACTGTGGCAATTTCATTCAGTTGATCAAATTAAAGAAATAACAAGTTAATAAAAATACCCAGGACTACCAATTTATAAGAATACAATAAGTTTATCAAATGTGTAAAGCTTTTTAAATGTTACACATTTTATCACCTAGGATTTTAGAAAAGCTACCTAAAAAGTCATGGAGAAAACACTGCCATTTGTATATTGTTTTAAACATAAAAATGACAAACTCCCCTTCTAGTTCAGTTACAAAGACTCACCTTTATTGTCAAGGAATACATAACCATCAAAGCGATCCCTGAACAAAATAATGTCCTCTTGGTTTTTAAAGTTGATGTATGCTCTGGCATACATATGAGGATACAGACTGCAGAGAAGAAAGCAATTAAGTAAATGTACTTGCATGTGTCTGGCTGAATTACAAGTACACATTTAAAGAGACAGGATCAAAAATCAAATGAAAAACACTAACAAGGTAAAAAGAATGGAAGAAACCTTTTTCATTTACCCCTCCCTCTTTTTTCTTTTACCTAGTGTCATTAGAAAAAAACTCAAAATAATCATGCTCAGGCATAGGTTGAAGATGTTCCTGAAGCTGTTCCTTGGTCAAAGTGGGAGGTAATCTTCGAATTACCACCTTAGGAAATGAATAAGGAAAATAAAATTAGTACAAGTCAACTTTCTATCATACCTGAAAGAATCACAGTCCCTGAAGATCGGCTTTAAAATATAAGATCACTTATTAAAACCCAAGAGAAAATATTCTTCTGTAGTCCAATGTTCAGAATTAGTCAAACGTAATACTAACGCGGTTTTTAAAAATTCCTGGAGATGAAAACCGCCTGGGGCAAGGAAAACCTCCGGTTCTGCTGTTATCGCACAGTTTACCAGTTTTGGGAAACACTGTCTACTATTCATTTCCAATAGATCTAGTAGCAAATTAGCATGCCATCCCTGGTCTTTTGCCATGAAATTTGAATTTAGTAGTATCTCTCATCCACGTCTAACACACCCTAAAACAAAATCCTTGACCATTCAGCTTAAAGACGTAAAAACTCCATAACGCATACAAAAAATTCGTCCACTGCTCTCAAAACAGTATGTTCTCGATCTGCCTTTCCAGACAATTAATCCTCCTAGCCCTCTCCCCCAATTCGCCTCGATTAATATTCCTACCGCAAACTACTCCCACCCCGATGTTCCCTTCACTAATAATTCTCCCCAATTAAACTATATTCCTCATTCCTTTACTTCCGCTCCCCCCTCCCATTATCATCTAGAAGCTCGGACCTAAACCCTTGTCTGGGGAATTCCCTCTTTCCCTAACCCCACCCTAGAGCTTGGTCAGGAGGGACGCCCCCCATTTAGGGCTAATATACAAGACAAAGTGAAGCGATTTTCATTCAGACGAAGAGAGAGAAGAACCCATAGAGGAAGAAACAACCCCATTCCAGCAACCTCCACGAGCCATGGACCCGTCCCGCCCTCTCGGGCCAGCTGCCGCTGGGCACCTTGCTTAGAGCTTCTTTCTTTTCCTTGTTGCGGTCCTGCTTATCGTCCCCTTTGGCACCTTCCAACGAAGCCCCACCGCTGCTGCCTGTGGCCCCCGGGGGCGTTAACAGGGTTACTCGCTTCTCCTTAGGCCTGTGCTCCTTTTCTTCCTTCATGGCCACGGTTACGCTCCTCGGAGCGGCCGCTCAGCCAACGCCGTTACGCTGGGCACCTACGACTCGCGGGTAGCTCCCTTTGGAGCTCCGCCCCCAACAAATACCCCTAGTGATAAGCGGAGCTGCGTGTTCCATTGGATCCCCCAAAATCTCGCGATACTTCAGGGTGTTCAGCTTCCCTCAGTAGAAAGGTTCTAATACCTGGTCTTTACTTCCCGCCTACTGAGTCCCCGCGCCGCCCAATCCCCTCGCGACCCAGATTCCCTTGAGGCCCGCCCCTTCGCGCATGGTGAGCAACTCGGCCATCTTGACTAGAAACAGCTCTTTTGGGGACTACATATCCCAGCATACAAAACGGTTACCCGCTTTCGGTTAGGAGTATGGGAACCTTAGCTATCTCATGTTCCTATTTGTAATAAATCGAATCTTTTCACCTTGAAAATTTAGGGATTTTTTTAAAGATCGAAATATAGGGGCTGGGATTGTGGCTCAGCGGTAGAGCACTCGCCTAGCATGGGTGAGGCCCTGGGTTCAATCCTAAATAAATAAAGGTAGTGTCCAACTACAACTAAAAAATAAATATTAGAAAAGCCCTTATACATCCAAAGATATTAAAAATTGTGCTCTATATGTGTAGTAAGAATTTTAATGCATTCTGCTGTCATAAATTTTAAAATTATTTTTTTAAAAATATTTATTTTTTAGTTCTCGGCGGACACAACATCTTTGTATGTGGTGCTGAGGATCAAACCCAGACGTCGCACGCATGCCAGGCCAGCGCGCTACCGCTTGAGCCACATCCCCAGCCCCTAAATATTATTTTTAAAAAGGCCCCATTTCTTTAAAAATATATATAGGTTTTGTGGGGGGGGTACTTAGCATAATTCTTTGGATAAATAATATTATCCAAATTTTGCCTCACTCTGGAACAATTGTGGGTTTTGTGAGATGGAATTGGGAGGAGAGTCTCACTGCATTGCCCAAGCTACCTCCAGTGAAGCCAGAATTAGGCAGTCAGTGTAGGTAGGTAAAACGAGGCAGGTCGGATCAAGGATCATGGAAGCCAATTTGAGTGAGTCCTGGAAGTTGGAGACTGCCCCCTGTGGGATTGAAATGCCTTCAGAGCCCTTCTTCCACCCTATCAAGATAACCTGCCCCAGTTCCCTCCCTCAGGGAGTTAGTTATAAAGTTGTGTCCTGGGCTGCTTCTCTCCTTTTGGCCCTCCCACTGAGCATCTCCTGGGCCTGGTCACTTAGGCAGGAAGCAAAGAGATAAGGGGAAGAGAGCAGGAGAAAAAAGGAAGCCTAAGACATATAAAAAAGGAGGAAGGCCTCACTTATTGGGATACCAGGATATCAGCTATTTACTTGCAGTGCTTCTCTAATGTTATACTTCAACATGTAAGGGAGCAAAACTCATCACCAGTAGCTGGAATTACAGATATACCACTGTGTCCAGTTTTGTATTTTCTATCATGGAATCCAAAGTGTACCTTCAGAGGCTTTAGTTTCTTTTCCATGTATTGATTGGGATTTGTAGATACTTAAACACACAAGATACTGGTGTAAAGGAGCAGTATCACCAAAATGTATAGGATTTGTTTTCATCACTGTTTTTAAAGTAAAAGGATTCTCTTTTGGTGCTGGGGCTCCACAGGAAGCAGGGGAAAGACCCAACTTGATTTAGTTGGGCTCACTCTCCTTCCCATTTTTAAAGAAAAAGCCAATTTTACATTATTTATAAATTACCCAAAGCTGGAAACAATCCAAATTCCCATCATCAGGTGAATGGATATGCAAAATATAGCACATTTCATAGAATACCACTCAGCAATAAAAATGAACTAATTATATATGCATCAACATGAGTGAATCTCAAAATGATTATATAGCCAGGGAAGGTGACCCATGCCTGTAATCCCAGCACCTCAGGAGGCTGAGGCAGGAGGATCATGAGTTCAAAGCCAGCCTCAGCAACTTAGTGAGGCCCTAAGCAACTCAGGGGTCTCTAAAATACAAAAAAGTGTTGGGGATGTAGCTCAGTGGTCAAGTGCTCCTGTGTTCAAGTCCCCATTTCCCCCCTCAAATCAAAATGATTATAAGAATCCAGACACAAAGAGAGTGCATGCTGTAAGGATCAATTTATATGAACTTCTAGTAAAGGTAAAAAAAAAATAGTGATAGCAGATAAGTGATTGCCAGAGCACAGGGTAGGGAAAAGAGATGAACTGAAAAGGGGATCCTGGCAACTTCTTGGTATGATGAAAACATTCTTTATCATGATTGTGATGGTTGCACTACTGCACATTTGTGTAAACTCATTGAATTGTCAGTAAAACTCAGCCCTACAAAATGTAAAATTTATTGTCCCAATGAGAAAGGGTTTGCATTATCAAATCTGATACCACTGAAGCTACCACTACTATTTTATATACCAAGAAAGAAAAATACTGCCAATTGAACTGCATTACACCATCAAACTTTAAATTCATCCTGATTTCAGAAGTGTTAAAATGTGAAAAAAGTCTTAGACTGAATGGAACAAGTTGATTCTGTATCATGAGCAATTAAGGAAAAGGGGTGGAGAAAGCTGCTATTTTTCCTTCTTTTTCAGTGAGTGAAATTAAGACATATATTGGTGGCTCAAACCCAAAATTGCAGGGTTAGTAGGTAACACAGCTGATTCATAAATTCAAATTATATCTCAAGGTTGGTAGTTTAGATTTCCTGGGGTAACAATAATGTTAGTAAAATATTGCATTACAAAAATAGCAAGCAACTCTTCACAAAAATATTCTGTGGATATGGGAAGTAGGGAAAGATTGTTAAAGAGATAATAATGGAACGTATAGAAATGAGACTCAAACAGAGGTATGTGGCACATGCCTGTACTTCCAGCCACTCAGGATGCTGAGAGAGGAAGATTGTTTGAGCCCAGGAGTTCTAGACCAGCCTGGGTAACGCAGCAAGACCCTGTCTAAAAGAAAAAAGAAGAAAAGAAATCAGGTTTGAGGAATTTAGGGCTATAAAAAGCTCCCAAATGCACTGGGTTAGTTTCTCAGCACCATATATAAATAAATAAAAATAAACACCTGGGCTGGGGATGTGGCTCAAGCGGTAACGCCTGGCGTGCGTGCGGCCCGGGTTCGATCCTCAGCACCACATACCAACAAAGATGTTGTGTCCACCGAGAACTAAACAATAAATGTTAAAAATTCTCTCTCTCTCTCTCTCCCTCTCTCTCTCTCTCTCTCCCCCCCCACTCTCTCTTTAAAAAAAAAATAAAAAAAAAATAAACACCTATCAACAACTAAAAAAATGTTTAAAAAAGAAAATTAGTTAATTTTTAAAAAAGCTCCCAAATGGGGGTGGTGGGCATCAAAGAATAATATATAAGACTATAAAAAATTAAGACCAGAAATATTTCTCTTTTATGTAAACAACTTCTAATATTAACTTCCAAGACTAAAGGAAAAAATGTTTCAAAATGAGCACTTTCCTATTTCAAGTAGCATAGTGTACTGAAGATTAAAAAAAAAGTTTTCCAATGTTAAGATAAGGTAGTTTATGTTCCTTCTTTATGAACAGTACAGATACCTTGCCTTTTCATTGTATCAAACAGTTCCAACTAGGGCTGGAGCTGTAGCTCTCAGTGGTAGAACACAACACTCCCCCAGCATGCAGGAGGCTTTGGGTTTGAACTCCAGCACAACAACAACAACAACAACAACAAAATGGAAATAAAAACAAATACTTCAAAATGTTGTTCAGATAATCATACAAATAATGAATAATAGTGACTTTTAAATGAACCATTTAGAGTCACTAGCTAAGGAAAGGCTATTCAAAATAAAAGTTTTATCTTAATGTTAAGATGAGGAATTTTAAATTAATCTTTCTGCTACAATTTTTTAAATTTTTTGAATTTTTTTCTAAACCTTAAACTCAAAAGGTGGTTTGCCTAATACCTCAAATCCTTCTTTTTAAAAAAAAAAATTTAGTTGTAGATGGACACAATACCTTTATTTTATTCATTTTTATATTTTGCTTTATGTTACAATTTGGATCTTGAATGTTTCCCAAAGGTCCAGCTGTTGAAAGTTGATGGCTTGGTTCCCTAGCCTGTGGTACTATTGTGGAGCCTTAGGAGGTGGGGCCTAATGGAAAGAAGTTAAGTTGCTGGGGGGCATGACCTTCAAGGAAATAGTGGAACTTTGGTTTTTTTCCACTTCCTGATCCCCATGAGGTAAGCAGCTTTGTTCCAGCCTTGTTCTACTAAACGCTTCCCACCATGTCTTACTGCCTAGCCAGAGGCCCAAAAGTAATGGGACAACTGACCATGGGCTGAATCCTCTGAAACTGTGATTCAAAATAAATCTTTTCTGTTTATATTAAGTATTTTTTCACAGTAACAGCAGACTAACATACTTTATTGATTTGATTGATTTTCTTGTACTCATTAATATTTTTTTCCATCAAACTCCTTCACGAATGTAAAACCCTACTCTATGTGGTCAAATATCATGTATCTGTTACTTTTTGTTCTATTTGGAGACATCTTTCCTTCTGCCATCTCACCTCCTACTTCTATAGGTTTTTTTTTTTCCTAGTAATGAGGATTGAACTCAAGGTGCTTTACCTGCAATCCTCCTGCCTCAGCCTCTGAAGTTGCAGGGATTACAGTCATGTGCCACTGTGTTCAGCATCATGTTTATTTTTAATTTTTTTAAATTTCACCATTATTATATAATCTTTTTAGATATACATGACAGTAGAGTGTATTCTGACATATTATACATACATGAAGTATAACTTAGTCTTATTAGGATCCCATTCTTTCAGCTGTACATGATGTGGAGTTTCACTCTAATGTATTTAATGTTTTTTTTTTTAAATATATGGAGATTCACAACAGCTTTATTTAATAGTCAAAGACTGGAAACAATCTAAATGTCTGTGAACAAGTGAATAGATGAATAAATTGTGGAATACTACCCAGGAACATAAAGGAATGAACTATAAATATATACAATAACACAGATGATTTTTCAAAAGAATTATGCTGAGTGAAAGAAGCTAAATATAATACTATATATACAATATTATTTCATTTCTTCAAAACTCTAGAAAATGCAAAATAATCTATACTGACAGAATTTTTTTTAAGAGAGAGTGAGAGAGGAGAGAGAGAGAGAGAATTTTTTTAATATTTATTTTTTAGTTCTTGGCGGACACAACATCTTTGTTGGTATGTGGTGCTAAGGATCAAACCCGGGCCACATGCATGCCAGGCGAGCGCGCTACCGCTTGAGCCACATCCCCAGCCCCCTGACAGAATCTTGATTAGTGGTTACCTGAAGATTGGGATGAAGACACAGAGAAACTGCTGTGTTTGTTTTTAAATTTTTGCTCTTGTATTATTTTCTTCCCTCTACCTGCTTAAGTTTATTCTGCTCTTTCTCTAGTTTTGTAAATTGAATGCTTTATGTAATAATTTGGAATTTTTCCCCTTGGTGCTGGGGATTGAACATAGAGCATCATGCATGATGCATGCCAAGCTTGTGTTCTACCACTAAACTAAATCACCAGCCTAGAATAGTTATTACAAATGCATTCAATACTATAAATTTTCTCCATTGAGCTACATCCCCAGCCCTAATGATTGTGTGTGTGTGTGTTTGGTTTTTTTGTGGGGGGGGTACTGGGGATTTAACCCAGGGCCACTTTACCACTAAGTCACAACTTCATCCCTTTTTATTTTTTAGATAAATTTTGCTAGCTTAGGGCCTCGCTAAGTTACTGAGGCTGGTCTTGAATTTGCAATCCTCCTGCCTCAGCCTCCTGAGTTGCTGGAATTTATAGGCGTGCACCACCACACCTGGAATGATTGCATTTCACATATTTTTATATGTATATTGTTGTCATTCAGTTTTAATCTTATAATGACTTCTTTCATGATGTTCCTGTTAACTCATTGGCTATTGTCTTTTTAGTTTTTGCACATGCTTTACTATTGATTTAAAATTTCAACATGAACACCTAATTTCTAGTAAGTTTAGAGCTAATAAGTACCTATCATTCTTCCAAGTAATACAAGGAGTTTTCAGTTCTTTAATACTGATATTTCCCATCATGCCATACACTTTTCCATGTAATGATTATAACCATTAAAGGTATTTGGGTTCGTTGTTGTTTTTTTGTTTTTTAAAGAGAGAGTGAGAGAGGAGAGAGAGAGAGAAAGAGAGAATTTTAACATTTATTTTTTCTTAGTTCTCGGCGGACACAACATCTTTGTTGGTATGTGGTGCTGAGGATCGAACCTGGGGCGGCGCGCATGCCAGGCGAGCGCGCTACCGCTTGAGCCAC